CGTGGGGGGGGGGTGTTGCTCTCCAGGCCTTCCCTCTGTAGCCACGAGCACAAACGTTTTAGCTGTAGTGGGCGTGGCCAACTCTGAAGCCAGCCGGAACTCCGTTCCTGTGCGTTCCTGCCCAAAAATAGCCCTGGCAGAACCATTAAGTCCTCATTGGCCACCTCCAGAGTCCTGGTGGGCTATTGTTCTAGAGCTCCAAGCTCAGCCCGTCTCTGGTAGGCAGTCCTGGGATGTTCCCGCCCCAGTGCTCGTCTACTCAGACTGGCAGTGGCTGTCCAGGAAGAGGTCTTTCCCATCACCTCCTACCCGATCCTTCCTGGAGATGCCAGAGATGGCACCTGGGACCTTCTGCATGCCGAGCAGAGGCTCTGCCGCTCAGCCTCGCCTGAAGCTGCCTTATACTGAGTCAGACCCTCCGTCCATCGAGGCCAGTATTATCAACTCCGAAGGGCAGCAGCTCCCCAGGGTCTCTCAGGCCCCTCCTCGAGAAAGAAAACAACTCCCAGGCCCCGCCCCGCCCACGCTTCCTCCGATTCAGTCAAATGAGCTTTGGTGCACTTTGCACTCTGGTCACCCGCGGCCTTTTGAGAGGGAAGGAGCCTGGGGCACGGCCGAGTGATGATTTCTTCCCAAAGCGCCGGGCGCCTGCCCTTTCCTAGCGCAAGCGTCGCCAGGGATGCAAAGGAGCATCGTCTCTCATTGCGCCTGTTTCCCATAAACATGCAGAGGTCTCCTCTTGCCTATTCCTTTTGAAAAACCGTTCGTCAAAGAAGCCATAATCGCCACCGCCCCCCAGTGCCCTCCCATGCATTATTCATGCGTCGGTCGGTGTCATAGAGAGCAAATATGCAAAGTGGGGCATAATTACCAGTGTGTGATATAAATCCTTATCACTGTAATTTTGAAAGGGGGGAAAGGGGGGGGGAGAGCCAAACCGCCCTGCAGATGCCGAAGGGCTGGAGGGTTTTGCCTCCCACATTATTAGGCTAGGATCCCATCTCCACGGAGTCCTGAAAGACGATCTGGCCAGCTGTTAAAGATGCAAAAGGAAAGGGGCCGGCTCTCTCAAATACAGATCTGGCATAGGGACTCTTCCCCCTCCCCCCTTAGCTGAGATCTCTCCTGTGCACAGAGAAGGGGAGGGGGCGTGGCTCAGTAGCAGAGCATCTGCTTGGCATGCGGAAGGTCCCCGGTTCGATCCCCGGCACCTCCAGTATTGGGATCGGGGTGTAGATGATGTGAATGGCCCCAGCTTGGGACCCTGGAGAGCTGCTGCCAGTCTGAGTAGGCAATGCTGACTTGGATGGGCCAAGGGGCTGATTCAGTATAAGGCAGCTCCCTGTGTTCAAGAGGTGCCTCATCTGGAAGAGGAGGAGGAGGAGGGGAAGAAGAAGAAGAACTCCAGTGTCCCTCCATGTGGCCAATCACAGTGCGCGGCAACTCCTGAAATTTGTGAGCCACATGAATTTCTAGCTGCCACTGCAAGCTGAAGAGGAAACTAACATCTCAAGTATGTATCACATCATCTCCAAATCTGTGCACTTCCTTGAAAGGGTTTTGCCCTGCCTTCTAACCACGGTCCCCAAGTCAGCAGAGGATCCATCCTGCAAAACAAAACAGTCCACCAGTTGAATGAAGCCTTCAGCTATGTGGCGGCCGTGCAAAGCATTGTTTCTCAGTGGCACAATGGGAAGCATTTCGTTGCGGATCGATGCCCACTGAAATCTGGGCATAAGAACTGTACTCAGTAAGCACAGGGCAGGAGTTGTTCCTCTTGCCTCTGAAGATGAGGCTGCCTGAAGCAGGGGATCTGCTGACGATCACCACAATTGGACAAGTTCATATTGGAGTCGATGGTCTCTCCAGGGGTCCTTGGGCAGGAAGCCCGAGACGCCACTCAAGTTCTTCTCCTTTGGCTTAGAGGGCAAACTTCAGCAGATCCTAAAGTCCACCTTCAAAATGACAGAAAGGGGATGGGGGAGATGTGAGGATTGTGAGGGCCTTAAGACGGGATCACTTAAATCGACCAGGGACATGTTAATCAGGTGGACGCTGGTCGTGCCACGGTTCAGCTATTAAACTCTTGCAAGTGCCTCAGCACAAGACTGGAACTGGCAGGCTGGTGTCTGGTTCGATCGAGCCCCCCGCTCTGCCTGGCCTGATGCTCGCTACTTCGCGCCTTCATGAAAAGAGGGGGGACGTGCCTGGCTGAGCCAGAAAAGGCAGTGTCAGAGTGGCAGATGGAAGCAAAAGATAAATGCGCCCACAAAAAAGGATATCATTTTTCCTGATCCTGGGATGGGCAAAAGATCGTTGTGATCTCCTGGTAGATCCTGGGCTGAATCAGAGTAGATCTCTGTCTGATGAAGTGAGCGTTGACTCTGAGAGCCAGTTTGGTGTAGTGGTTAAGAGCAGTGGGACTCTCGTCTGGGAGAACCAGGTTTGGTTCCCCACGCCTCCACAGGCAGCCAGCTGGGTGACCTTGGCTCAGTTACAAGTTCTCTCAGAGCTGTTCTCTCAAGGGCAGTTCTGGAGAGAGCTCTCACGGCCCCGCCTACCTCACAGGGTGTCTGTTGTGGGGAGAGGAAGGGAAAGGAGATTGTAAGCTGCTCTGAGACGCCGAGGGAAGGGCAGGGTGTAAATCCAGTCTCTTCTTCTTCTCCTCTCGAAAGCTTGGTGGTGGAGGAGGGAGGTGCTGTCGAGTCGCAGCTGACTCGTGGTGACCTCAGAGGGTTTACAAGACGTTCAGAGGTGGCTGGCCCTTGCCTGCCTCTGTGTAGTGACCCTGGTATTCCTTGGCGGTCTCCCATCCAAGGGCTAACCAGGGCTGACCCTGCTTAGCTTCCAAGCTCTGACGAGATCGGGCTAGCTTGGGCCAACCAGGTCAGGGTGGCCCCATAAGTCAGGGGCAGTGTTCCCTCTAAGCTGAGTGAGTGTGAGCTCACAGTTTTTTAGCCTCCGGCTCACACATTTTTGTCTCAGCTCAGGAAGGAGGGCTCCAGAACAAACTAATGGATGCAGTAGCCAAATCGCTCCCTCACAACTTTAATGCCAGTAGCTCACAAAGTAGAATTTTTACTCACAAGACTCCACACCTTAGAGGGAACATTGGTCAGGGGAACTATTTTTTTTTCCCAACCAGCCCTGGCTGGCAGATCCCAGACAAACGAGTGCAGCAAATGTCTGGATCCTGGATTTTGCCCACCCCTGCCCTAACCGACGCTTCTTCCCGCAGGCAAGTACTTCTGGAGACTGACCCGCAACAAGCACCTGGTCTCCCTCCAGCCGGCCCAGATCCACCGCTTCTGGCGGGGCTTGCCTCTAAACCTGGACAGCGTGGATGCCGTGTACGAGAGGACCCATGACCACAAGATTGTGTTCTTCAAAGGTGAGGGAGCGTCAGCTGTGACGGGGAATGGTCTTATTGTCGCCAGTGTTCCCTCTAAGCTGAGTTAGTGTGAGCTAGCTCACATTTTTTTAGCCTCCGGCTCACACATTTTTGTCTTAGCTCAGGGAGGAGGGCTCCAGAGGGAAACTAATTTCTGCAGTAGCCAAATTGCCCGCTCACAACTTTAATGCCAGTAGGTCACAAGGTAGGATTTTTGCTCACAAGACTCCACAGCTTAGAGGGAGCATTGGTTGTCGCCTGTCAAAGGGCTCTTGGTGTCCCCATCTGCTAAAGCAGGATTAGAAACATAAGACCATAAAACTGGAAGGTACCTCAAGGGTCATCTAGCCAGCCCCCTGCACAATGCAAGAAATTCGTGGCTACCCCCACTCCCCAAATGACCCCTGCTCTGTACCCAGAGGAAAGGAAAAAACCTCCAGGATACCCGGGCCCATCTGGCCTGGAGGAAAATTCCTTCCTGGCCCCAAAGTGGTGATCGGCATTTCCCTGGGCATGTAAGAAAAGGCCACGAGAACTAAGCACTGAGGCCACCCTTCCTGCCCATCCTCTCACGATCTGCCCAAATTCACAGAATCAGCATTACTGGCAAATGGCCATCGAGCCTCTGCTTCCTGTTTTTTGAGGATCACGAAACCGCGGGGGAAATCGGGCGAAGCCACGGGTCAAAATGCGGCTGCACGGCCTCAAGTGGGAAATTGACCGATAGAAGCGGGGCAAAGGGAGGCGCAAGCGCAGCGCAGCTCTTGTGTGAAATCGGTCCCACTGTACAGCAGTGCCCTTCATACCACCCCAGGCCTTTAACCACTGGAACACAGTCTCATGTATCCCCCACCCACCCCAAATAGATTGCTGGCCATGAGTTTTTACTACCTAGACACCACCTGAGTAATGTATTTTTTGCAGTAAGGATCTGCGTCTGCATTCTCTTCCCCCTTGTTGCTGTCCTTCTCAAGACACATTTCTAGGGTGGCGTTGGTCTTCTTTTCCCCAACGTGGTGCCCGGGGGCACCCACGGACACCTTCCCTGGCATCCACCAAGGGCTTTTAGAAAGTGGGCGGGGGCTAGGCGGGGCTTTTCCCTGATTGGTGGTGCAGATTAAAAGGTACCCTGTTAAACACAGCCTCGCTATAGAGCATTAAGGAGGTACTGTTAGAGCTATATATGACGTCACTCCCTGATATTTTGTCGGCGGCTCCACCTCCTGCAACAGCCATTTTGTGTTTGGGCCCACCGCCCTGGGTCAGGATTCCAAAGGTGCCTGCAGGCTCAGAAAGGGTGAGGACCTCTGTTTTAGGAAGACGTTTCCCCAGGAGCCTTGGGCCTTGTGTGGAACGTCACTTAATGCGTCCCGTCGCTGTCAGAGAGGCTTGGAGTGTTTCACTGACTGAGCAATGCTGCCCTCTGCTGGCTCACCTCGCAAGGACGCCCACTGTCAGCCTTTGCTGACCCAACAGCGTTCCTGGGCGGAGAGAAGCTTTGAAACAGTCCCACAAGGGATCCCAACGGTGGGATTTGTGGCATCGCCATCCTGCCCGCTTGCAGAGCTCCCAGGGTCATTCGCTGGGCCCCAACAGTAGCCAAAGTCCTGAGCTATGTGCAGCAACAGTCTGGCCCGTTGTAACTCTGGGTGAGGATGTCTGCATTGCCTTGTTGGATGAGACCCACGTAGCCCCGCATTCTGTCTCCGGCCAGTTGCCTCTGGGACGCACACAAGCGGGACACGAAGCCTTCCCTGGCGGCTTCTGCCCAGCATCGTCCAGCTCTCTTTTGCCGTTCGTTTAAGAGATTTCTCTCTTCCTTTCTGTGCCCAACTGCCCTGCTCCGACCCACTCAGGAGCAAGTCCCAGGTGCTCTCCAGGTGCTCTCCATCAGGGAAAAGGTATCCTAGGGCAGGTTCAGGCCCGAGAGCTTGACTGCTGGACCGGCAAGGGAGTGAACCTCAAGGGAACTTGGGTCACTTCCGCACAGATTGTTTGCCCCGGCCGGGGTTTTCCCCCCTACTTCCAGGCAACGGATTTCCTCCCATCTTTCCTGTAATCATTCCCAAACTAGCTTTACTGTTATGTTTTTGCGGAAGATCTCAGCAAAGTCAGGGTGGCCCCCATCTGGACAAGGAAGTCTGGATGTTTTTACATCAGTATCATTTCCCCTGACCTGGAGGAGTGGGGAATCCACATGGAGCCAGCTGGGTGACCATGGGTCAGTCACAGCTCTTTCAGAGCTCCCTCAGCCCACCTCTGGCTCGCCACCTAGTGATGGATAACGCTAAAGAGCTAGAACTTACAGGTGCCAGACAATCTCAGTATCTCCTGGCTGTACTACACACACTGCCATACAATAATCATTATTATCCGTGCCCTAGTCCCCAACGGCACCCATATAGCATCTTAATAATCTATCTGGTTCTCTGAATCCCCAGCTTTATGTTTTTAAGAAAATCTTTAGCCCTTTTCATTGCAGAGATACAAAGGGAAAGGCATAGCTCTGCCATTAAAGGGACTGGATAGGGTTTTTTTTTAATCTCCCTTTGTAATTCCTTTGAAAAAGAACTACTACTTGTGGGTCAGCAACTTAATGTCCTGGAAGGTAGGGTCACTACATAGAGGAAGGCAATGGCAAACCACTCTTGCTTGTCTCTTGCCTAGAACGCCCCATGGATGGTCTTGCCATGAATTCATCGCCCCTCGACAGCACGTTCTCCTTCTTTGTAATTTACTTATTTATTACATTTTTAGCCCACCTTTCTTCCAGTGAGCCCAGGGTAACATACAGGGTTCTTCCTTCTGATGCATCCTCATTACAACCCTGTGAGGTAGGCTGAGATGAGACCAGATGACTGGACGAAGGTCACTTCCTAGCGAGAGAGGATTTGATCCTGCATCTCCCAAGCCCTAGACCGAGTTTCTAACCAGTGCCACACACTGTATCTCTTTGAGCCAGCGAGAGGGGGATTCTATGGTATTGCCCTGTCAAAGAGCGTTGGGGTATCTTAGGTTGGGGTATCTGGGTTGGGCGCATTGGGGTACCTAGGTTCCTTCAGCAGAGCATCTCTTTCTGTGCCTTTTGTACTTGAGTTTGGAATGTGTACACGAAAACAGCTTTCCCGGCCATTCGTGACGAATTCTCATCCCTCTCCTGGAGTGCGGCGGATTCCAATCAGAGGGGTGCCACGGCGGCCGGTGGTGCGGCGTAACCTTGCCTGCGCGGGAAGCCAGCTCTCCACCGTGCAGCAGAAATGACGTTGCTCCCTACCTGCCTGTTTCTTCTCCCCAGGAGACAGATACTGGGTGTTCAAAGACAATAATGTGGAGGAAGGATACCCTCGGCCCATCTCGGATTTCGGCCTGCCGCTGGGAGGCATCGACGCCGCGTTTTCCTGGGCCCACAATGACAAGGCTTATTTCTTTAAGGACAATCTCTACTGGAGCTACAATGACCGCGAGCGACGGATGGACTCTGGCTACCCTTCGGCGGACTTTTTGTGGAAGGGGATTCCCAGCCACTTGGACGATGCCACGCGGTGGTCAGACGGTGAGTGAGTTGAGTCGGTTGAGACGGTGCGTGTGGCGTGGTGGTTGGAGTGGGGGAACCAGGACAGGAGGGACCGGGGTTCAAGTCCCAACTCCGTCATAAGAACTCACTGGATGGCAATGGATTGGATGCAACCGGAAAAGGGGGGGAAGAGGCCGATTCTTTTCATATTGTGTCTGAGCCATGCAACTTTGAGCATTGCGGATTGGGCCGAAACAGGTCCGTGGGAATGTGAAATATTGCACACCTCAATGAGTGGCCCATGTTGTATTTTAAGAATATTTATTTCCACTTACTCCATGGGTGATCATCTATGTGTGGGTAAGGTCCATGCTGTATTTGATGCATTTGATGTTTTTAGGCCCATTCTGTATATGATGAGTTTTATATATATTTATGTCCAGTTTATGGAGTGCTCAGTTTGAAATTTACCACCGAGGAAGGTTTTTAGCTGCAGTGCGTTGGGTTCTTGTATATGGATATGTTTGGTACCTTTTAACCGGCATTTATACTTTTGGACATTCGTTCTTTATATTAGGTCTAGGTACTTATATGCAGAATCATAAGAATGTGGTTTTTAAGCAATATTTTAACACTTTTAAATATACAATTAAATTATATTTGATACTTTGTGTATTAGCACTGTGTGCCTAGCTATATTTCAGTTTTGTTTTTTGGTCTCAACCTTTTTTGGTTACCTTGACAGCAGATTGGGACCTGGGGGGGGCGGGGTCAGTTCTGCTAACAGTGGCGGTTTGCCCTGGCACAAGTCAGGTGAATGTCTCCCTTGCTGAGTGAAAGGGGAGCCGCTAGCAGAACAGATCCCTGGGACCCAACCCTTCCAGACTGTCCCTGCCTCTGAGCCTAACCTACCTCACAGGGCTGTTGTGAAGTTAAAAAGGAGAAGGGAGAATCATGTACTACTCCCCTGGAGGAAGGAAAGGACAACGTGTTACAGGATAGAGAAGTACCTGCCCTAACTGGTACACATTAATTGCTCAGCCTAAATGACCAGACTTCCCTTAATGTCCCACCCTGAACCAGCCGTGCTTAGAAGAGAAGAAGAGAAGAGATTGGATTTATACCCCGCTCTTCACTTGGAGTCTCCAAGCGGCTTACAAACTCCTTTCCCTTCCCCCTCCCCACAACAGACACCCTGTGAGGTGGGCGGGGCTGAGAGAGCTCTGACACAAACTGCTCTTTTTCAAGGACAGCTGTGCCAAAGCTTGTGACTGACCCAAGGTCACATCAGCAGGTGCAAGTGGAGGAGTGGGGAATCAAACCCGGTTCTCCCAGATTAGAGTCCATGCACTTAACCACTACACCAAACTGGCCCCCAGCAAGGGGCTTCCAAGGCAAGTGAGAAGCAGAGGTGGTTTGCCATGGCCTTCCTCTGCAGAGTCTTCCTTGGTGGCCTTCCAAGTACTGACCCTGCTTAGCTTCCAAGAACTGACAAGACTAGTCTATACCAGTCCGCTTTCCCTTGTCTTTTTCCCCCCCTGCCAGGGTAAAAAAACAACCTGGGGGAGGTACATTTTTGATGGAAGAAATTACCCAAGCAGGGAGATCCTCTTTCCTAGTGGCACTGCCCTGATCCATATCTCCTTGCCTCCCCATATTCACAAACACACACAGAGCTGTTTGTTAGAACCACAAAATATGCAACAAGTCTCAGCACAGAAGTCCAACATCCCACATTGGCAGGTCTGCTCCTCTCCTTCCTACTTGCTCTCCCGCGCTGCAATTGACGTCAAAGGGCCGATAATATTGCCCGTCGTTTCTGAGAAAAATGAAAACAAATTTGTGTTAGTGGGTGAAAATGGGGCTGGAATGTTTGGTTGTGTAATCTGTTGGGGTGAAGATGATTCAAAAGCATTTAGAATGCCTGAAAGCGGGCCACCAATTTAATTGTCCAGCATGTTGAAAAATAAAACCAATGAATTTTAGTATAAGTACCTCTTTAAAAATCCTGCAGGAGGCTAAAACCATCTCAGAAGAGGCATTCCTGCCTGTTTGAGACATGAGAGGCATTCTGTCCTGTATGAGATGGGGAATGCCTCTTCTGAGATGGAGTCTTAGAAGAGGCATTCCTATCTGTTCCAGACAGGAGAGGCATTCCCTGTATGCAAAAGAAGGGAACTGCCTCTTCTAAGATGGGGCTTTGGAAGAGGCATTCCTATCTTTGAGACATCAGGGGCTTTCTCTCCTGTATGAGATGGGGAATGCCTCTTCTGAGATGGAATATTAGAAGAGGCATTCATGTCTGCTTGAGACATGAGAGGCTTTCTCCTCTGTATGAAATGGGGAATGCCTCTTTCAGGATGGAGCCTTTCACAACACAAGCTCATGATCTCTAAGCTAAGTATGCTTTTTGTCTTCAGTCCCCTTGTGTTTTCTTCCTAGGCAAATATATTCTGATAGACGTGTCTTAATGAGAACAGATAAGGGTTCGTTTGACCCGATTTTCCTTAATTAGGTGACAACCTTCCTTGCAGGCATCGTAGAAATGCTGTGCATTGTTATAAAAAAAACTGATGCTCATCCTCTCGCATGCCGCGTCTGAGCGCTTTGCTTTCCCCACACAGGATCTACCTACTTCTTCAAGGGCAAAGAATACTGGAAAATATCGGACAGCAGCCTGGAAGCGGAGCCCGGTTACCCACAATCCATTGCGAGAGACTGGCTGGTGTGCGGTGACATGCAGTCGGATGCGCCCGAGCCGGCCGAGAGCACCAGGACCGGGGTGCGTTCCAAGCAAGGACACCACGATGAGAGCCGTTCTGAGAGCGAGGTGTGCTCGTGTACCTCGTCCTCCTCCGACCCACTCTGCTCGCGCTCAGTGCTCGAACTCTCCGTAGGCCTCGTCTTCGCTAGCCTTTGGACAGCAGCCTTGGCCGTTGGGCCGCTATGACAGCTAGCGGGAGGAGGATTGGACGATGCTGCAGCAATTCAGGGATGCAAAGTGGGGAAGGGGGAGTTAAAAAAACAACAAAAATAACAGGATGCCGCACTGTTAAAACGAGCAACACACCACATTCCTAGGAACGTGTTGGGAACGGTTTCAGATTCTCCATGAGAAGTGAACTTTGCTTTTTCTTTTTCTTTTTTGGTTTTTCTTTCCAATTCCGTTCTTTTCCTTTTCTTTTTCTTAACTTAATGAGCTTTAACAGCAGACTCCGGGGGTTGTCACTTTCTTCGTCTCCCCACTCCCTCGCCCCAAACGGTGGAAAGAATAAAGATTCTGACTCGTCTTGGAGTCAGGAATATTGCCTAGCTGTATCGTGCTGTGGGTCTTGCGGGAAAACACACACACACACACCCCGCTACCGAAAGAGGAAGGTGGAGGGAGAATTTGTGGGCATGGTAATCGCACCGTGGCTTTATGGCCAACGAGGCAATTGGAAGTGCAAAAAAAAGAGGTGTCCGACCCGGGCGTGGTTGATGTCAAAAGAGGCAAGTCGTTCGCCGAACCAGGGTTGTGTCACGTTGGAGAGATCGCGATGTCCGTGGGAGAGGTCGTCTTCGAACAACAGAGTCCGGCTGCAAAGAGGTTGTCTGTCACAGCCCGAGCCTCAGAGTCTGAATGCGGGGAGGCTGGTTATCCAGAGCCAGTTTGGTGTAGTGGTTAAGTGCGCGGACTCTAATCTGGGAGAACCGGGTTTGATTCCCCACTCCTCCACTTGCACCTGGCTGGATGACCTTGGGTAAGCCGTAGTTCTGATAAGAGCTGTTCTTGAAAAAGAGCAGTTTCTGTCAAGAGTTCTCTCAGCCCCACCTACCTCACAGGGTGTCTGTTGTGGGGAGGGGAAGGGAAAGGAGTTTGTAAGCCACTCTGAGACTCCTTTGGGTAGTGAAGGGCGGGGTATAAATCCAATCTCTTCTTCTTCTTCTTCTATCCTGGGCAGCTCGATCTAGAAAGCAGGCCAGAGAGCTCAGAGGATTGATTGCCTCGCCTGGCAGCTGGTCCGGAAACACCTGCTGTGCCACAGTTAAACATCACTGGGTCAGAACTCGGATCCCTGTGGGTCAAGAGAGATCAGCATCCTTAGGCAGCCGCCGAGGTCCTGGCATCCCATGATGGCCCACTGCCGGTACCCTACCTCGTGCCATTGTAGAGAGATAGCAATAACCACCGCCACCTAGAATCGTAGAGTTGGAAGGGACCTCCAAGGTCATCTAGTCCAACCCCCTGCACAAGGCAGGGAATTCACAAACACCTCCCCCTCCACACACACACACACCCAGTGACCGCTGTTCCACGCCCAGACCCTGCCCCTATTGGGGCAAGGGAAAGGATTGAGCCCCCTCCAGTGGGGAGCCCCCCCGTCCTTGGGGCTCCACCACTCCCTGTAGTAGTGGTTCCCCTCCATCTTCTTCTATGGGGAGAGGGGAAACTGTTCCTTCCACTGTCTCCATACCCAAGTGGGTGGACAAGGAGGTCATGACGACAGATTGGAAGCAACTCAGCAGCCCCCAGCTGGCTTCTTGCTCTGGGCATTTATTTATTCTATTCACAGCCTGCCCTCCCCTATACAATAGGGCTCAGAGCGGGTTACGACAGTCTTGAAAACATTTAAACAATTAAAACATCAAATAATTCTCTAATGTTATAAATATAATAAAACCGCAACTCTCGTGCAGCTAAGAGAGCACATATAGAGTTTAACCTTCCATATATTTTCCCGGGCCCCGGCAGGGCTCTTTTTGTAGCAGGAACTCCTTTGCATATTAGGCCACACACCCCTAATGTAGCCAATCCTCCAAGAGCTTACAGAGCTCTTCTTACAGGGGCTACTGTAAGCTCTTGGAGGACTGGCTACATTAGGGGTGTGTCGCTTAATATGCAAATGAGAACCTGCTACAAAAAGAGCCCACCCTAAATGCCTCCTCTAGAGCTGCTGTTTGCTGGGAGGGTTAGGGTTCCTGGATACCTCCTCTAGTGGGGTAAATATCAGTTCCAGGGGCTGTTGGAGGTTAGCAAAGCTCCTTCCCGTGGTATAGTCCTGACTGGGGTGGTAGAGGTCTCAGAAACGTGGCATTGTAGGGGACTGAAACCTCTTTCTCCAGCTCTGCAACCAGCTCCAATTCCAATCCCATTCCTGTGTTTTAGTATTGACCACATGATATATCCAAGTTTGAGTCTAGTAGTACCTTTAAGACCAACCAAGTTTAATTCTGGGTATAAGCTGTCGTGTGCTGGGCTTAAAGGTGCCACTGGACTCAAACTCTGTTATGCTGCTTCGAGCCAACACGGCTCCCCACCTGAGTCTGTGCACATAGTTCTGTTGATTGTGCCAAGAATTTGGAACGAAATTTCATCTGTGGCCAGAGGGAGGCAGCAAAGACAACCACATGCAGCCAAAAGAGAGCCCTTCTCTAAACAGATGGTCAAATGTACTGTGGTGGTTTTAGACGGGAAATGGAACAGAGCTGTCTGTCAGGTCTGCTAGGTATATTAATACAAGGCATGATCCTGCCACTGAACGGAAGAACCAAGTTCATCCTTCAGTTCCTCTGGGACCTGAAGACGTCTCATCGATCTGTCAGTCTTTACCCTCCTTGGAGCTCAGGACAGTGTATGTGACTTTCCCCTCACCCACTTCATCCAGGCTGACAGAAAGTATTTTCTTTTCTTTTCTTTTCTTTTGCTGTCAAGTCACATCTGACTTATGACGGACCTATGGGGTTTGTCAAGGCAAGAGACCAACGGAGGTGGTTTGCCATTGCCTGCCTCTGTATAGCAACCTTTATCTTCCCCAATGGTCTCCCGTCCAAATACTGACCAGGCCAGCCTGGCCTTTCCAGGTCAGGGCAACAGAGAATTACTGGGCCCAATTTACCCAGCGTGTTCATTGGCTGAGTAGGGATTTGAACCCAAGCTCCCCCAGTCCTACTCCATCACTAACCACCTCTCCGCACTGGCGCTCCCTGCCTGTCAAGAGCAAGAGGGCAGCCATGTTTGAACTGGCCGGTTTTGGCTTTCCCCTGCAGCTGTGAGAAGACCTCACTCCCCAGACCCACAATCTCTTCCTCCACCAACTCAATACCTGCTGTCTTTGCCCTTTTATTCATTTCAGTCAGGTATTGGTAATATTTCGGGTCTGAACTTCTGTCTGTCTGTCACATTTTTATCCTGTCTCTTCTCTCAGGTGCTTAGGTGTGGGGAAACTAGGACTCCCTGTTTGCCTTGGGGGGAAATGGAAGGACGCAGGAAACCAGGAAGCACATATATATAAAAAATAATCCTAGGAAGTTTGGTTCCCTCTCCAAAAGGAGGGGAAAAGAGAATCCCAACTCCAACATGACTGGTGATCAATGCTCCCTCTAAGTCGTGGAGCCTTGTGAGCCGAAATTCTACTTTGTGAGCTACTGGCATTAAAGTTGTGAGCGAGTGATTTGGCTACAGCACAACTTAGTTTGCTCTGGAGCCATCCTTCCTGAGCAAAGACAAAAATCTGTGACCTGGAGGCTAAAAAACTGTGAGCTAGCTCACACTAACTCAGCTTAGAGGGAACACTTCTGGTGATCAGTGGTTTTCCTATGGCTTGTCTTAACAATCCATCTAACAGAGTGTGGCAGAGCATGAACAGATGGATTGATTTGACTGATTGATGATCCCACTCTGTCTCATGGGCTTACAGCTGCTTTCGACTGCTTTCCATTCCAATGGGGCTCAGGTCTAAATAATTAAATATCATTAAATGTCATTTTCTCAGAATGCTATATTTCTGGGGAGTGGGACCAGAGTCAGTCCCAGGTACGGCAGTGATGGTGGGCGCTTTCTCACACACTGATGTGACTCCCTTTCGATGCACTTTGCAACTGGATTTGACTGTGTGGAACGGCAAAAAAAAAAGCCGTGCAAACGGCCGCTGAAGTGGACTGAAATGGCATTATTCAGCATGCGTGAAAGCGCCTGGTATTTCTGGAGTCCTGGCCAGGAGGTAGATGGAGCGTTACTCCCAGGTTTGGGAATGGGCCTCCTTCCCTGAATGCAAAGACCACTTCAAAATGTTTATTTTTAAGGTTGGACAGCCTGGCATGAAGCAGTGTAAGTAACGTGCTTGGAAGTCGAACTCGCGCCTTCTCGCAGTGCCTGCTTCCTCTCAGGTCCAGCACCCAGCATGCTCGTCACTTAAAATGAGCAGCATTTCGAGCGTATTTGCATCTGTGCGGTTGGCAGGATTCGTTACGGCCTAGGCAGCCAGCCGGGAGCAGCCTTTGGCCTCTGCTCAGAACTTAATGGATTGTTGGGATCGAAAGGAATAGTAATGCCCTTGGCTTTCCAACTCGGCTTGGTACATCTCAAGAGCTACACTTCCCATCAACCCTAGCAGGAAATAATGGTCAGAACATCAGAACATCAGAGACGCCAACCCTGAGGCAGGGTTCTTTCTCCCCCTTCCAAAAGGTAAGTGTTGTGGCCGGGAGGGGGATACATCTTGGAGGGCTGCGTGGAGAAGTATCCCGCCGAACGCTCGCAAATGTCCATCGAGTGTTTGGCCAGAATGCTTGCAAAAATACAAGTGGTTTCTGGGGGTGTTTGCCAGTTCCTAAAGCCAGGCGATGATGATGATGGAAGAAGAAGCTTTTGACTTGCTAACGTGTGTGTAAGGCAGCATGTATAGCTAGGATTGCTCCTTGGGGAACAGGATACGCTGTGCTGAATATTCAAATGCCTTTGCTCTAAATTATCTCATGCTCTAAAGGCTCAATTATCTTTGCTCTAAATCGGTTAGTGAACCCGCTCTGGAATCCTCTGTAATTTCCTATTTAAAGGGAACTCTCTTTTTTTTTATGGGCCGCGGTGGCTCAGTGGTTAAGATGCTGAACTGCAGACTGGAAGGTCGGTAGTTCAGCAGTTTGAGACCCGAGTGCCGCGTGACGGAGTGAGCTCCCGTCTCTGGCCCCAGCTCCTGCCAACCTAGCAGTCTGAAAGCAAGAAGTTGCAAGTAAATAAATATGTATGGCTTCAGTGTTCCATGCCCGTCGGCGTCTAGTCATGCCGACCACATGACCATGAAGATGTCTTTGGACAGCGCTGGCTCTTCGGCTTGGAAACAGAGATGAGCACCGCACCCTAGACTCGAATTCGACTGGCTTCCGAGCAAGGGAAACCTTTACCTTTTTACTCGGCTCCTGCCCTCTCTTTTCCCTTACGCTCTAGCTTGTGCAGAGTGGACATGAATGCTCCACAGGCTGATGAATATC